TACTGTGTAGGACGGATTTCTTCCGGGTCTACAGCAAGGCTGCGCGCTGACGCTAACAGAGTTGTCTTAGCAACGAGTGCTAATTTCCCCCCAAACACTGCCGGTGTCAAAATGACAATAAACAACCCAGTCTCACGGCAATTCATGAAATAGTCACAAAATTTAATCTATTGTTTCGTGTCCTAGGACACGATTTGTCCAACTTTTTCGTGTTCCCCAGCACGAATTTCAAACCAATACATTTCAATTGGAATTATGTTTCATGTCTGGGACACGTATTTTTCCCCATTAGGCGGCACATATACTGTGATGTTTCTGTTGTCTTTTTCTTCCGACAGTCAGGCATTAACCAATTTTACTGTTATGGTCTATCCACACTACTAACTATAGAGATCACTATACAGATGTGTGGGGCTGCAAGGTGGCGCAGTTGGTTAGCACTGTTTCTTTGCAGCAAGAAGGTTGCCGGTTCGCGTCCCGGTGGGGGCACCGGGATCACTCTGCGTGGAGTTTGCATGTTCTCCCCGGCTTCCTCCCACAACTTAATTGGTGATTCTAAATTGTCCGTAGGTGTAAATGTGTAGCTTAAGTGTAGCCCTGCGATAGACTGGTGACCTGTCCAGGTGTCCCCTGCCTTCGCCCTGAGTCAGCTGGGATAGACTCCAGCCCCCCCGCGACCCTAGTGAGGATTAAGCGGTGTATAGATGATGGATGGATGGATACAGATGTGTGCGCCCACATTGACCAACGTTACCATTCTGTAAACATCGGCGCTGAGCCAGTACCATGTGCTCCAGCTGGTATAAGCTCTGTGTCCATTCAAATAGAAAAGGCAAAATATATCCAGGCAGAAAGAAACTGTTGAAACACAGTTAAAGCATATATATCACTCTGAAAAGTGATCCTAACAATATCGTTCATAGCTATTATCGTTGGGATCACTTTCAGAGTGATATATGGGCTTTAACTGTGTTTGGGCTACATGCTCGTTGTTACTTTCATTTCTTTGCACACGAATACAACTCTGAAAAGGACACATGCAGGAAAATGGCGACAGTATGATGTACTGTGATCACAGCGATGGATAATCTGACTATTGTAATTGAGAGGCCAGTGGTTCGCTAATAGCTTAGCTACGAGCTAGGCTTAGCTACTAGCTAAGCCTAGCGTCTTAGGCTTCTTCGTTTTCTTCGACTGATTTGGCGGTTGGCATCCAACGGTCAGATACATTACCACCACCTAATGCACACACAAAACATTACATAGACTCTGTGAGACGGGTCCCAACTTTTAAAATATTTCTTACAAGATTTTTTTTTGCTTGTTTTTACTTCTATTCAAGTCTTTTTTTTTTTTTTTTTTTAATTCTACTTAAGTCTTTCTATTCTAACTTGAAAATTTCCTTCAGCACTGTTTTTGTTTACTCTGACTACAATGCCCATAAACCTCAGCGACCAGGAAGACGTTTTTCCTGCTGCCTACGGGATATTTTCATTGCGGTCAAGCTGCTGTCCAGGTAAGTTAGTGGCTATTGATTGTCTGTTGCATGTTTCACTTAAATGTCAAACAACTGATTATTTTCTCTGCGTTTGCTTGCATGGTTCACAAATTAAAGTAATTCTCTCTCTCTCTCTCTCTCTCTCTCTCTCTCTCTCTTTCTCTCTCTCCCCATTTTACAGTTCCTGCCCACCGGTTTTATACTTCTTGAACTATTGAGTATGCCAGGAGGTTCCACAACTAAAACATGTCCATTCTGTCAAACGACACTGTTTTGTGCACAAAAAACCTGCACATACTGCAAACAGGAGCAGCCAACAAAGCTGCGCCTTAAACGTAAGCTAGAAAGGTTCGACGAAAAGCGCAAAGAATGGGTGGTTGGCCGCAAGAGAGCCCACAACGCTTCATCAGTGAAGGATGAAGCCATTATCCTGGTATGTGTATTTTCAACACAATAAATAAACTGAGTAGTAAAACTGGTGATTAAGTTAGCATGCCATTGCAAGGTCAGTGGACCTTTTTAACCAAATACTAGGAAAGAATATATTGAATTCACATTATTTTTCATGATTTCATTTATTTTCATCATTATTATTTATTAGAACAGACTTATCATTTCAATTTACCTGTTAACTTTCATGTCATACAGAATTGTGATTATCCAAGAGTGTTGCTTTTATTCCAGTACTAATACTTTTATGTAATTCTGTCTTCACCTTAACTCATTTCATTAGATTTTTTTTTGTTGAAGTAAAATTGGAAAACAAGGGATACTTCATAGAGAATTCATACTTTATTACAAATATAGGCCTACATTATGACAGCTCCACTGGCGCGGTATAATAATCACAAGTTCTCATCCAGTGGGTGCAACTATGCTTTACAATGTATTCACATTGTCAACTGATGAAATGAAATGAAAAATACTTTTTTTTATCCCAGAAGGGAAATTCAATTAAAAAAAAAAAAAGATTATTGTCAATTAAATGTTTTGCTGTTTCTCCTGGACTTAAAGCAGCAAACATCTCATGTTTTCATTGCAGCTTGAGAAGCTTCATGCCTTGGGCTACAAGCCGGTGCTGCTTCTCGGAAAGCAGAACAAAAGTAAAAAAAAACTCCAGTGCAAGATACTCACCCCTCGATGCTCACTGACGGCATACGCGAAGGATAGTCTGGAGAAGATTGGCTCTTTATTTGAGCGCGTCTGTAAAGGTGAGATGCCTTTGCTTTGTTTTTAAAGTCATAGTTTAAAACTGGAATGCAAAAGTGTTTTAATCACTATATTAATATTTCGTAAGTATTTAAATCTTCAAGATTAAAAATTAAAAGTTTATCATAAGCTCCTAACCTAGTCAACAGTAGAAGAGTTTTTAAGCACACCATTGGTTCATCTCTTATCAAAACTATTTAAGTTACATTTTGTTTCTGGCTAAGTCTTGTGAGACATAAAACATACAAATGTTTTCATGTTTAAGCCGACTTACTGACTGAGGCAGTGTCACAGGGACTTACACTAATAGGATACTTAAAAAATTAAGACCGATTTTAGACCGCGAATCAGTAAATCAAAAGAATATGAATCCTAATACATGCTCTTCAGAAATGACAGTGTTGAAGTACTCTGTATAAATTTTTTTTTAGATTAGTTTATTTAAAAGGGGACAGCGCAATTTCATAAAACACATGATTACACGTGGTTAAAAAAGCCAGAATTAGCCAGAAGGCTAGTTTTCATCTGTGGTCCCCAAATGTAGAGCTTGAGATGCACAAATGAGAAAAGAGAACCTTTAAATGCTGTAAACATATCACACCTACACTGCCAATAACTTCTGAATACAGTCTGAACTAAACAGACCCAGTCTTCGAACAAATATTAGGCTCTAGTCTTTCAATATTACTCTTTGTTTTTTGTCATCTAAACGATGTTTGTATTTGTTTTTGTTATAGAAAATCAAATATGGATTTGTAGATATGTATTATATTTAGTACACTATCTTTAAATAAAAATATTTTAAGGTGGTTTACCTGTGTGCTAAATAAAGAAAACACAACATTTGTTTATTTGGCACAGGTTGGACTGAGGGAGTGAAAGTCGGACCTGAGTTCACTAATCAGCATATCACGCTCTACCTCTCACCCAGTAAGGATAATGTGAGGGAGGCAAGGGACATGCAGGTGGAGGAGAAGAGGGCCGTCCAGGTGGAGGACAGGGCCGTCCAGGTTGAGGAGGAGAGGGCTGTTCAGGTGGAGGAGAGGGCCGTCCAGGTGGAGGTGGAGAGGGCTGTCCAGGTTGAGGAGGAGAGGGCCCTCCAGGTGGAGGTGGAGAGGGCCGTCCAGGTGGAGGTGGAAAGGGCCATCCAGGTGGAGGAGGAGAGGGCCATCCAGGTGGAGGTGGAGAGGGCCGTCCAGGTGGAGGTGGAAAGGGCCATCCAGGTGGAGGAGGAGAGGGCCATCCAGGTGGAGGTGGAGAGGGCCGTCCAGGT